CTCAGATCTCAAAATGGTGGAGCATTGCTCAAACTCTTATAGCCTCTGGTGCCCCCACCTTATCATAAAAGCCTAAACATTCACATGCTTTCTCTCACACGGCGCCTAAGCTACGACCTTGGCTCCCTGTTTATCTGCTCCTGCTGAGATGGGGCAGAAAACTCCAGCATGTTCTGTTCTCTTCTAATCAGACAAATAAGGCGATGACTTTCTGCAAACAGTATTTCTTATAACTCAGCAGTATAATGCATCATAAAACAATATCATTCATTCACAATAAATCAGCAGTCTAATGTAATGCAAATCAGTTTAACTAATGCAATAGTTATCACCTTCTTCTAATTCAGGAGAATAATGCAAACTAAAACTACTCTCCCAAGTCACCAAAGTTCTTTGTGTTGCTCGTGCACGAGTGAAAGAACTCTGACGAGTGCCATTACTTCTCGAACCCCATTCACTCTCAGTTAGCTCCCCTGTAGCACTGCTCTTTATTGTGGTTACATGAATATGCATAGTCTCGTTAACATATGACGTCTTACACAGGCATACATATGAACAATGAGTACCGTCTCTCTGTGTGTGTGTGTGTGTGTGTGTGGGTGTGTGTGGATGTGTGTCAAGATGTGACCCTGTGAATGACTCCCAAAAGCTGGTGCTAGGAGCCGAGCGGTCCACCTAAACAAAAGGCTCTTATACTTAGTATAAATCAGTAAGAGAAGGTACGACCTCTCTCATGACCTATGGATTTGTGAGCATGCCAGAACACTGCATCTTGTAGCTGTGTTATCTTAAATTGATCATGTGATTTTGACATGCAGACGTGTCTGTCGACCCCAGAGGGTTAAGAATCAGACCTCTATCATTACGCAATCGATTATAAAACTCTAAGCATATATGAATACATATTTCTAAGCATAAATGACAATCAACAATATAGACCTAACAACCCTCACCTCACAGGCTGTGGGTGGTGACCAAAAGAACGAGATTGGAGATAAAAGCGGTAGAAATGAGATTCCTCCCAAAGCTGGCCTCTCCCTTAGAGATTGGGTGAAGCGTTCAGCCATGCATGAAGGGCTCATTGTAGAGCCACTGCTACTCGACATTGAAAGGAGCCAGCTGAGGTGGTTCAGGTCTGACAGGGATGTCTCCTCAGCGCCTCCTAGGTGAATTGTTCCGGCGCATGTCCCACCAGGAGGAGGTCCCAAGGCAGACTTAGGACATGGTGGAAAGATAAATGGCGTGTCCAAATTCAGGGTCTGCATCCTTGGAGGACGCGGCCTTCGTGGTCTATGTGGGCCTTGTCCTCGAAGGTCGAGAAAGCCGGAAGTGCGAGGCTTGTAAAATTGGAAGGTCTAGCCTGCGTCGCGCTGCTCAGGTTGCCTAGCAACCACGATACTCATACCATGTCATAACTGCTTTAAGTCA